TTTGTAACATAGAATAGATGTAAAATTTGCATTAGATACAGATCAATTGTTTATGATTTAATATGTTGGTACTGTATTGTTTACTCTAAAATAAAGAACAGGCACATTTGTACAGGAGGAGTGTAAAATATTATGATTTGGGCTAAATTTTAATGTTTCACATTTATAAGAAGCACCAACACAAATGGTAATTCATGAAACAGACATTGTAAATCGATTACATGGTCTGGAGGGGCACAGCATTAACATGACATGTACAGTTAAAAGCGGCCAACCAAATGAAACACTAACATGGATCAGTCAGGGAACAGTACTTAAAGTCGGAGGGCCAAGGATCTTAACATTTGACATGATTGCTACGCGATCAGACCATTTGCATAACTATACATGCTTGGCAAATAACTCAGCAGTACAAAAACCACTTACAAAGACAATCCAGCTTGATATAGCATGTAAGTTCATGTCTTTAATAGCCTTTTGATGGCAATGGCATATCAAAGAAAATTAGATTATATATTATGATAATGCCAAATAACAGATGCTTGGCTCTCAAATATTCGTCTTTGAGTGTTCTTGATGAAGGTTTCAAAAAGTCTTAACTTGAATTCATAGTTACAGGCCCTAATGCGTTGCACAGAAAATTTTTAAACAGGTAAACACACAATAAACACCTTAAAAAGGTCCAAAACCTCAATTTTGATTTATGCAAACTTTAGTATTAATCTAAAAATAAATGTGTTAGAAGGACATTGTTAACCAAAGCCATAATTACGTTGGAAATAAACTTAATTAATGTTTATGAATACAAATTCATTGATGTAAGTCGGAATGATGCGAAACATGTAAAATTATTATTGTTTTCAAGATACATTTAAAAGAACATATAGCGCTGAGTAATATTTTGATGTTACTATAATATGCAAAATTATGAAACAATATGTTATTGACTTTTTATAATCAGTTTCCATTTCGATTTGACAATATTTAAATTTTGATCATGTGAGTAAAACAAATACCAGAAAATTCACACCAATCTTTTAGGAATGGGTAATAGGGTGCAGTATATTTCACCGAAATCGTACACAAAGAATAACCTGTATCGAAAGAACAAAGTTTTAACATATTAAGTTTATTCTGAAAAGCTAGCTATTTATTTAACAAATAAGTAAAAAAATAAATAAATTATATATGAGTATGCACATTTCCATGAAAATATTTGTTCAATGATGGTTAGGTGTTCCCTATAACTAACTCACGGCATTATGTATTTATTGCATATTCAATGTGAACTTCTGGTCTTTGTTCTGTATCCAGCTTTCATAAGTATAATATAAACAGTTAACAAACAACTTGAAATTTGGCTGATTATTTGTCATGGCATTTACTCAACATTATTGAACACAAACAACAACAAATAATTAGCCAACAAGTGAAAACATGATGACAATTGATAACTTACGGGATAAACCAAAAGTGGAAGTAAAAAAAAAGTTGATTTCTAGATGCTGTGCAGATCCATAACAGCTCAATGGATATTACTTGAATAAATCACTGCCTATTGAATTTGATGATGTTGATATCCAATGCACTTCATCATTGAACTGAATGTCATGCCAATAGACTTTTTGTTATACATGTATAACTAAATTATAGAAACTCCTTGTATTTTTGGAATTTATTGCATCTGTCTCTGTATGTTGAAGCGTCTTACATAAACGATGGTACCTGACAATCTGACATTCAATACATATTGATCTGCTCGATATGCAATCTGAAAAATAAACAAGGAAAGCAAAAATCAGTTTATGAAAGAGATGGTTGATTGCAATGTTCTGTTGATATTATGACGTGGAGTGAAAACTGAGCAGGAAGACATGTTAGTATGTGGATAATATCCACGAGGCGCTGGAAATCAAAATATTTAGTATGTTTTAATTTGCGATATCGGTTATGTAAAGATTTAAATTGCAAACTGTAAATAATGAACTGTACATTTAAAACACAATAAATGAATAAATGTATTTTGAATGCAATAAATCAATTTAATTATTAGATCATTACATTTTATTATTTCTTCAGTTAAGCCATACGTGTGGACAAATGGCAGTAAATTTATATCAATTACGGAAGGTCAAGCACTTTCCATTACATGCGATCAAAGCAGTAACCCTCCATCGAGCGGCCCTAAATGGTGGAACTTGAATGGAATAGGTAAAATGGATTTGTTTGTAAATGGCAGTGGTCTACATATTAATGTGGTAACGAGAAGAGATTCTGGAATATATATCTGCAAGGCTTTAAACAAGATAGGAACTGGTTCAACAAATATCACTATTAACGTACTTTGTAAGTTCTACGTTTTATATGTATGTATGATTTTCATTATTGAGAAATGCGTAAACTTGCATACCGAACATCCTACAAAAACAGCACTGACCATGAATTTGTTTACCAGTAAACTCCTCATAGATAAACTCATCATAGATACCAGGATTGGAATTTTGTATTTGCGCCAGACGCGCGTTTCGTCTACAAAAGACTCATCAGTGACGCTCGAATAAAAAAAGGTAAAAAAGGCCAAATAAAATACGAAGTTGAAGAGCATTGAGAACCAAAATTTCCTAAAAGTTTTGCCAAATAAAGCTAAGGTAATCTATTTCTGACAACAGGAGTACATTTTTATATGTCAGACGCGCGTTTCTTCTACAAAAGACTCATTGGTAACGATGGAATCACAAAAGTTAAATTAAGACCAAATAAAGTACGAAGATGAAAACCATTGGGGACAGAAATTCTGGACGATTTTGACAAATACAGCTAAGGTAATATATGAGCTGCATCGGATAGAACATGTAGAAATGGACCTAATGCATTAATATTCTGTTAACCTATTTCCTGAGATCACCCCAGTTTTTGGTGGGGTTCGTGTTGCTTAGTCTTTAGTTTTCTATGTTGTGTCATCTGTACTATTATTTGTCTGTTTGTCTTTTTATTTTTGGCCATGGCGTTGTTAGTTTGTTTTCGATCTTTGAGTTTGACTGTCCCTCTGGTATCTTTCGTCCCTCTTCTATTTCGGGTTGAAAAAATGGAAAAAATCTGTTACTGTTTGAAATTGATTTGATATATAAGAACCCTGCACAACAGACCTAAGCTTATCTTTAATTCGTATTTGAATATTCTAAAATCAATCAAAATAGTCCTATACATATACATATATACGTGCACTTGCATAAGGTCGATTTTTATCCAACGCAGCGCATATTCCTGATGTAGAAAATCCTTACCAAATGATGCGATTTTGCTTAAAAGGTAAAAAAAAATAGGTTGTGCATAATGCATCTATATATTTATATCCGATGCATGTATATTCGCTCTTTTATCAGTTAATCAATAAAAAAAATATTAAAAAACAATTTCCATGTCAAGTACTATATTTTCAGATATATCGTATTTTGTTGTCCCTTAATGAGTTTGGTCTTGATGTGGCATGTTTGTTTAATTTATTAACAATTAAACTAGATCTGTTATTTTTACTAAAGCTGTCTATATACCCTCTGTTCATATAAATATGATAAAAAAGTTTAAAAAAAAAGGCATAGTATCGGCGTAAACTGTTGTGTGGTACAATTTTACTATGCTATTTTACAATATATGTTTTTAGATCCACCAACTGTTCGTTTAGTTTATGATAATTATACTGAGACTGAGAGTAGCAGAGAACTTTTGTGCGTAGCAAATGGAAATCCAGCTACGTATACATTCAGTAAATGGGAACACAAATCAGAATTTGGAGAACATATCAGATACCTTAATGGATATTCAAACGGAAGTCTCGTCCTCCCATACACACAAAGCCTTAGCTACCAAGATTCTGGTATATATAAATGTACAGTTAGTAACCGAATACCAGATACGTATGGCCAAGTGAACCAGTCGCACAATGTTTTCCTTACTATACAAGGTAAATTCATAATATTCATGATTATAAAACTAAACAACATAGAACGTAAATGTGTCTCAGTATATATGTCTAAGCTTAACATGATCTAGTACTCAAGCAAATCATGTTGTTGGTAGGCTTTGTGTCTTGCAGTGAGGCTGAATTAAAATGAAGAGTCAGATACCATAACTACAATGAAACTTCATGAGTCGAAGAGACATTGAAAACACCATAGCAAAACAAAACAAAAAATCTCGACCGACTCTTGTCAATTTAAAAATAAAATCAAGATATTACACAAACTAAACTATATTTGGGATAGCCCCTTTTCAATGGGAAAGATGCATCCAACACAATCATCCAACTTTTAATTTTTTAGTGAGAGGACATAACCTATAAGGCGAAACGTAAAGTTTAACCAAAACTTTAGCTTGTTTCCATTCTTCTTGAGAAGCTTCTGTATCAAGTCTGTATCTACGTTGGCTAATTTTATATAATCAAAGTTTGACTAGAATCTGTCTTTAAGTTTAAAATATGGAATACTAGTTTTAAGGATTGAGATGTCAAATATTTTATGCTATACAGGATTTTCATTAATTAGTCATTGACAAAAGAAAACACGTAAACTATATATCTAGTAATTAAACTTTATTAGATAACACGAAACGGGAAAGATTGGAGCAACACAGAGAGGGGCATACTATAACGTATTTATCTGGTCAAATAGAAAAGATCCATTGTAGCTTTAATTGTAAAAAGTAAAATAAAAAAAATACCGAACTCCGATGAAAATTCAAAACGGAAAGTCCCTAATCAAATGGCAAAAATCAAAAGTTCAAACACAACAAACGAATGGATAACAACTGTCATATTCCTGACTTGGTACAGGCATTTTATGATGTAGATGTAAATGATGTAAACCAATACAATTGCTTTTCATTGATTTTCATATAGCAGCCACGTACTTTCTAGGTTGGACTGTAAAAAACTCGATGGAAAACAGGAGGCTAATCATCTAAAATTCTGATCACAAAAGTAGTACACAAAGTATATTATTAACATGAATATCAAACATTTAAGTCGAACAAAAATTAACAAAGCAAATAATTTCTTTACAGGAAAGCCAATTGTACTTGACAGTACTCAGAAAATATTTTATGGCATAATCGATAACCAAACAGATATTTGTTTAGAAGTATATAGCGTACCTAAATTTACAGAAATACAACTTCAAGATAGTAATGGTGTCATTTTAAACAGACAGGGAAAAGTCACAATAACAGATGAAACAGCTGTCTTTAGACAAAAGTTTCACAGCAAATTGATTAGGTTAAATGGATATCGGCTAAAAATTCGTTTCTCAACGTTTTCTGAAAAAGATGTAGGAAACTACTCTATGAATATTGATAATAGTTATGGAAAGGATACAACAAACTTAACAATTCAGGTTGCTAGTAAGTATCATTCCAATCAAAACAACTTCTTCTTGAACAAATCTGATTGAAAACAAGATCTATTACCAATGCCGATATCACAAAACACTTGGAAGCGACTAGTGAACACAGAAACTGTATTTTAACAAGATCATTTTGACGTTCCTTCTGCAAAAGTACCAATAAGATCTCTGTACCTGTGAAATAAATTAGTTAAAATTTTAAGTAATGTATGGTAACGAAATCCCTAATGTAATAATTTATCAGTTAAACATAGATAAATACATTGTACATTCATTGAAATTCAAGACTACACTACAGACACAGGCATAGCGAACAAATAGGAAAAGTCACAATCGTAAGTAGGGACTAAAGGAAAGTGGCTTTTTTAAACTTTCGGTCCTAGTATAATTGACAGTGTTTACTCCAGAAAAAGTAGCATGATCGAAAATCGATATCGTCCTTTTATACAATTTTAAGTACCTGATTTCTTTCTATAAAAGAGCCATGTCTATATACAATATATTTACATTGTCGGAATATTCAAAATTTAGTTGTACGAGCTGAAGAAACATAAAGAAATCTGAGGCATTGAGTTTTTCTAGTCGTTTCGTACCAAGAAAAATCAATCATATTTGTTCCGACAATTAACATAATAGTGTTTTATGCTGCATTTTAATCTGACACTTTAACGTTGAGTCTTTTTAATCTCAACTGTTGTCTTTAATTTTATAGAATTTGACATGAATTAAACACGAGCCGCAAACAGGACCCCATGACATGTAAAATGTAAGCAGCAAATCAAACTTTGCATTAAGACAGGATAACATGATACTTTAGTACAAAGAAAGCACAAACGAGTTTCATTTGTATAACCGTTATACCATGATTGACTGATTGCAGATTTAAAAAAAAGATAAAGGGACCATAAATAGATATCAATACAACAGACTCTAATATGTCGATAATATGTCACATCTATCTTAAACTGCATCCTACTTTTAAAATTTTATTTTTTACAGGTCCACCAAACATACCGATGAATGTTTCGATTAAACCGTTGGTAAATGCTGTCATTGTAAACTGGCATAAAAATTTTGATGGCGGTTTTGAACAAACATTTTACATTGAATTCAAAATTGAAAGCAAAAGAAATTGGATTAGTGTGAAATCATTCAATACGACACCATCTGCTGAAGTATCATGGCAAATATCTGGACTTAGGTCAAGTCAGACATACTTCTTTCGAATGTTTGCCCGAAACTCGTTGGGTGAAAGCAGTAAAACAGATATACAGATAATTCAGACGAAAGGTAAGTCTTCACTCATAAAATAACATAGAGAATAAGCCCTGTTGTGCAACACATGTAGTATTTTTATTAGTTAAGAATAAGCAATTCATCGTGCAACAACTAGATATGAACAGGACCATTCTTTTGTAGTCAAAATATCATAAGATGTATAAGAATATTTTCAACGTAATAGCAACTTTCTTTTAGATTCGAATATTGTACCAGCGATTCTTTTGCTTTTGTATTTCAGGATAAGCCTTGGTCCAAAGATATTTCAAAATTAAGAATTAGTTCACTTCGACAATGTGAACATTATTTAAAAGGATTGAACTCTGGAGAATTTCAAACTTTCCGTTTCTGATCCCTGATTTGAATTGACACAACAACCCATTTACTGCTGTTTTATAAATCTATCTGCCATGATGTGGAATATAATAAAAGAACGAACATGACCAGGAAAAAACTATGATTCGAATGATGATCATGAAGTTCGACCATTAACGCTCATTACATATATCAGCGTAAAACAAAGTAGGCATGACGCTCGTTTCGTCTACATAACACTTCTCAGTGGCGCTATGATATTATAAAATTTTGCACATGCAAGCAAACATATTTTCATGTACTTCCATGCTCCACTCAATTAAAAATCATAACAATTTGACGACAAGGTGCATGACTGTTTCGTTTATGCAGAGTCCAGCAGCTTGTCGCAAAACGATCTGCTATCAAATAAATAAATTCGCTGATTAGTATGATGACCGTCAATAACCTTTGAAAATCAAATTAAGATTTCATCTTAATTTATTTTATTTTTTTTTTGTGTAGAAAATGATTATAAAAACTATACAATCTATAAGAAATCTGGATATGAGTCTTAAAAATCTTTCAATATATTAAAGCGCGTAATAGCATGGTCTTTTTATATGAACAGAAGAAAGTGAATTTATCACTGAGACAGCAGTGTCGTAAAATACAAAAACAAGCATCTACTAGTAATCACACATGGGCCTCAATGATAAATACATATTAAGTATATGAAATGTTATATTCTGATAGAATGAGTCGATAACACCAATATTTTGAATGTGTTCAACAGCCTACATAATCAACAAAAATAGCTGTCTAATTCTAAAAAAGGATAATTAGATTTATAAAAAGAAACACTACAGTACATATTTGTTTTATAATAACATTAAATGTTTTCAAGGCATTGGACATAATGAAGGAGGCATGCTCATTATTTACGCTGTAATAAGCAGTGCTGCAGTAGTGTCAACGATGATCCTATCTGCAGTGCTCTATTATTGTATAAGAAGCAGAAGGTCTTGTGAAGAGACAGGAAATACATCAAGGGCCGTAACCATTGACAGTCCAAATATTTATGACGAAATTCCTTCTGATAACATTCCGGAAAATATAGTTCCCACAAATAATGCGGAGGTGCATGACGAATCGATGATTATTTCTGAACCGCGAATACTGGTCGAAAGTCAAGTGGATTCCCATTTCGATGCATGTGAGTCTCAGAGTAAAGTATATCAAGTGAATGATGATTATTTACATCCATGTGTAAAAGGGCAGTCGGAGTCCGATTCATGTGGTTCTGGAAGTGGTGATCTTCAAATAAACCCTCATTCTTTAGATCTATTTGCTAAAAGACAATCCGCGTTCGACTCCGGTTCGTGTAGTTCTGGGGAAACTCCTCAAGGGGATCATGATTATTTACATCCATATGTATCTCTGCAGCCCAATTGGAAAGAAAACTCTAAAGATGAAGGTCTGTACATGCAACAGATTAAATAATTTACGCGTTAAGTATTATTGTAGAAATGGTTGATGCTAATTGTTCGTTTCAATATAAATGATAACAATAAAACAACAGCTGGAATAATGGTATTTCTTTATTAGGTAGTAGATATAGATTTGTATTTTTTTAACACTTCCCAGATTGCTTGCTAGATAGAATAATGTAGAAGTTGTCAAGAACATTTGATAATTTTCTTTATGCAGTTAAATACAATGATCTGCCAAAGAAATTAGTGAATGGCCAGTGAATTCAAATGCCATAAACAAGTCTGATAATTTATAAAACAAACAATATGCATCGGTTATAAATCTCCACTTAGATTAAATACCAAAGAGCTAGAAATAGGAAATAAAAACAAATTTCATCAAGTCCATTTTTCCAATAAATGAAATTGGAATGTCCGTACTGAATATTTTTTTACTTAATCTTACAAAAAAGTATCATGAGATGGTAAAAATTAAAGTTCTTGATGTATTCTTGAACAATAACATCTGATTTATTTGACAATTTTTTGAATATGCGGACATCTTATGGAACTCTTGAAATAATAATGTTTAATACTCCTCTTGACGCACGCTGTATTGTCATTGATGTAATACACGCACTGTGTCTTCGACTTTCTCTTTTTTTGTATCAGCCTTTCTTTGAATAGTATTTACAAATTAACTGCTGAACCCCATTAGGAAAAGTCAATACTAGTCATAAGAGTTCTTTTGAAACCACCATCAGAGTATTTATGAGACTAAATAATTGGTTCAGTAGAAATAGAACATAACGATATATTGGTATACACATTAACGCATATACCCGTTCATAACGGATTCTGAAGAAAAAATACTACACAAATAACAAATTCGTTGTCAAAATCCTAACGTAGTATTATGTATAGCATCGTCTTGGACAAATACATTATGCGCACTAAAGAATGAATCCGAGTTAATTAGATCCTCAGCGATACCATCTGGATTTAGTCGACACCTCAATTAATATTGTTTCCGTCCAAGTTGACACCATTATCTTGCCTTTTGACTTAACCGTACTCTCAGACAATACAAATACCATTTTGTTTAATTTGATAAAGACATACATTATTCTAAACATCCGTCTCATTTCTAAACTGTTTTTCTTTATTTTCTATTTCATTTTGCATATATATTTGTTGCAGAGCCTACAACTGTTAACATTATGTTCAAGCACATTTTGATGTTGTATAGTTTGTATATTACATGTATTTTAAGACATATTCTTTGCTAGTGTCTAAATCCTAGATATATATTTCATGGATTTGTATTACATTACAATATAAAGTTTTGTTTAAATAAATATAGTTAAAACTAAAGAATTAATTATTTAATTTCGACTAATGACACCATGAATAATATCTCCCTCCCCACTAAAAGAAAAAAAAAAACCAACAGAGTCCGTGAAACCTAAAGAAAAAATGAAGTTGGATCAACCTTAACACGATACCCACAAAAAACACTGTGAACTCAGGAGTTCTACAAAGATATTCTTAGTGGGGTTCTGCCCTTACTAATGACATATGTTTCGTTTTCCATGTTTAAATCCGATAAGTCATAGCAGTGAAAAGGGGTTTTGTGTTATGTACACATTAACACATATACCCGTTCATAACAGATTCTGAAGAAAAAATCCTACACAAATAACAAATTCGTTGTCAAAATCCTAACGTATTATTATGTATACCATCGCGCACTAAAGAATGAACTCGAGTTAATTAGATCCTCAGCTATACCATCTGGATTTAGTCGACACCTCAAACTGGTGAGGTGATTAAGAAACAAATTCTTACCTCCTTTCTACAATTGTTTTAGGCATAATCCTTTCAATTAATATTGTTTCCGTCCAAGTTGACACCATAATCTTGCCTTTTGACTAAACCGTACTCTCAGACAATACAAATAACATTTTATAATTTGATAAAGACATACATACATCCCCAGTTTTTGGTGGGGTTCGTGTTGCTTACTCTTAAGTTTTCTATGTTGTGTCATCTGTGCTATTATTTGTCTGTTTGTCTTTTTATTTTTGGCCACGGCGTTGTCAGTTTGTTTTCGATCTATGAATTTGACTGTCCCTCTGGCATCTTTCGTCCCTCTTTTATTCTAAACATCCGTCTCATTTCTAAACTGTTTTTCTTTATTTTCTATTACACATGTTACATTTTGCATATATATTTGTTGCAGAGCATACAACTGTTAACATTATGTTCAAGCACATTTTGATGTTGTATAGTTTGTATATTACATGTATTATAAGACATATTCTTTGCTAGTGTCTAAATCCTAGATATATATTTCATGGATTTGTATTACATTGTAGTATAAAGTTTTGTTTAAATAAATATAGTTAAAACTAAAGAATAAATTATTTAATTTTCGACTAATGACACCATGAATAATATATCCCTCCCCACCAAAAGAAAAAAAAACCAACAGAGTCCGTGAAACCTAAAGAAAAAATGAAGTTGGAGCAACCTTAACACGAAACCCACAAAAAACACGGTGAAATCAGGGGTTCTACAAAGATATTCTTAGTGGGGTTCCGCCCTTACTAATGACATATGTTTCGTTTTCCATGTTTAAATCCGACAAGTCATAGCAGTGAAAAGGGGTTTTGTGTTATATACAGGGGTGTGCTCCTAAAACAAAAACCGGTCCTAAATAGGTACCGGGACAATCAACTTAAATTTACACAACTTAAAAGTTAACGTTGTCTTTTATTGGTTTTTTTTTCAAACAAACAAATATTGCTTATCAAAAAATTAGTTGATCTTTTCGTTAGTCAATTGTTTTTAGATTCCAATGTAAGAATAACAGGCTACTAAAATATAAGACCATCTTTTCTAACTTTCTCAAAAGAAAGACGAAACAGACGAAAAATTACTAAAAGACAAACAACAGTAAACAAAACACAACATAAAAACCCAGGAAGCTTCATTAATTTTTAAAACACACATATTCATATTTTATAGATATGAACAACAACCTCTCCCAAAACATTTTATTCAAATCTAAGTGTGTAGGTTGTTGCTCATCATAGTTAATTTTATCGAACAACTAAGATTTAATTGAAGAAATGTGCTTCGTGTCGATCTGATGAGTCAAACCAATTCTAAATAATTGTTAACTGTTTGTCCTTGTGTTATGCTGTTACATCATTGTCCCAAATTAACAGAAAGGTAGAGCGCCCACACATATATTTAACCCCGTCATATTAAGCATGTGCGTGTCCCAAATCAGGGACGTGTAATTCCTGTTGTTGTCGTTAGTTATCGTCTGTCATACTGGAAAACAACTTATTTTTGTCGATACTTTTTCGTCTTTGTTATGTCTTTTCTAGCCGGTCTCTTGTCGGTCTCTCATCGACTGACGAGTTTTGATTCTTCATGACAAGATATTCTGGATCTATATGACTCTGAAGAACACTGATCAAGGGTTAGTGTACAATAAAAAAATGTAAAACAAAGTAAAGTTTTGATAACAGATTTTCAACTTACTAGCAATTTAACTAAAAAATCTTTCTTTACCAGGAGCTGATGATCTGAATTGTAAATCAATAACTATCGTCTACGTATTTTTATGTATTTCTATGTATCCTGTCCAAATTACTATTTTTTCGGTAAAACGATATATACCAAAAGGCCTCTAAAAATCCTCATAATCATCTTGCAACACATTTTCGATGACAAAATAAGGACTTCTGGATTCAAGCAGTCGAAAGTGCGACCCCATATGGTTGTGATGACAAAATTGTTGGTAAAGGTATTCTATATAATCCCTCTAGCATTTCGGTGAATGTGATTAATGTTTTGAACTCTGCTCCTCGACGTAGACACAGTCATGGACATGCAGTCATTATACATCACCCACTCTGCATTATATCTCTTTAAATGAACCTCTGCTATGTATGCAGAAGCCATTGATATTCATCACGTTAACGTTTAGGTGCGGACCGTAGCTCAAAGCTCCTTAGGACATTTTTTTGACAATTTGCGAACCATAGAGCTACGGATTTTTCCTATTTCGTATTTATGTTTGAATATTCATTTCCTTGGCTCTATTAATTAATTATCTCCATTTGGGAACGTCTTCGCCTATTTTGCTCAGCCATTTTGAATTTCATCGTGACGTTGTAATAACAAGAACATATAACTGTAGTAAGAAAACACGTGTTAATTTGTTGCGTTGTCTCTTATTCTATTTCTTGACTATTTTAATGAAAGAACGTGTTATTAAGCATTTATACAAAAGGAATTAATAATTCGTCCTAATAGTATAAAAGTTTCGTGTTACTTAGTGTTTCAAAGTCTGTAAAAGAAGGGCGAAAGATATCAGAGGAACATTCAAACTCATAAATCGAAAATAAACTGACAACGCCATGGCTAAAAAAGAATAAGACAACAGACAAACAATAGTACACAAAACACAACATAGAAAAATAAAGATTAAGCAACACGAACCCTACCAAAAACTGGGGGTGATCTCAGGTGCTCAGGAAGGGTGAGCAAATCCTGGTCCACATGTGGCACCCGTCGTGTTGCTCATGTTTGTGCAAACCCAGTAATAAGTCTAATTCTGTAGATCACATTCGTGAAAAGGGAACGGGATTGTAGTTGACATAAGGAACATATCTGCTATCATCTGTGGAACGGATATTCCATAATGGTCAACCGACTCGTGATGGGGTTCGTAAAATTAACGATGAGATGATTTCAACGTCACAATTGGGAACTCTTTGTTTAATCGCTTTCTTGTGAGCAGCAACTCTCTATCAAGGAAATCATGATAGGAAATACAAGCCCGAGAATATCGTAGCAATTGGGATATACATACTCCGTATGCTGGCGCTGCTGGAATGTTGATACATAGAAATGGAAAGTTCACAATTGAGAAGCTGAAATCATCTCTTTTGTCTTAAAGTTTTGTTTTAAACCGACCCTCATTGTCAATTTCTAGATGTAAATTAGGATATGATAAAGACGTAACTGTATCTGTTGTATTCTTTATCTCTAGTTCGATGGGATAGATGCGTTCGACATAGTCACCACATTTTGAATTATGTAGTGAGACAACATCATCTATATAGCGGAAAGTAAAGTTAAAGGATACTGCTAACTTCTTTTCTTTCTTCTTCCTGTATGAAGTCAGCCTCATAAGAATAAAGGAACAGGTCGGCATGAAGAGAGGCACAGTTGATTCCCATGGGAATGCCGATAGTTTGTTGAAAAACACGTCCTCCAAACGTAACTTGTATGTTGTCAATCAAGAAATCAGCATCTTGATTATGTCAGTTTCAGAGAATTTTTTGTTTGAATCAGAGTGATTTTTTACAAAGTAGGATTTATCCCTCCCTAAGACAAGATACTTGTATCTACATTTGCCATTCTTTTTTATGAAACACACGAATCCAGCTTAGTAATAAATAAACAAGCTAACACGTGTTTTCCTATTTTGGAAGAGTTCTTCACCTCCACCATATGGAATCAAGGATACCTGAGTGATTTTTTGTTGATTTAAATAACGTCACAACAAAATTAAAAATGGTTGCACAAAAAAGTTGGAGACGTATACAATAGGAAGTAATTAGATAATAGTGTCAAGGAAATGAATATTGAAACATAAAAATGTACGTCAAATCATAGAACATATCTTACGAAATGACAAGCTAAGCACAGGTAAAAAAATTAAATTTAGAAAAAATAGCGACTTGAACCTGGAACGCAACTCCGAACGGTTTAGAATAGGAAAAATCCGTATCTCTATGGTCAGCAAATTGCCAAAAAATATCATAACTAAGGACCTATGAGCCACGGTTCCGCAGGTAATAAACGATAAGCTTTATTCACTACCTTTTAAACATTTAATTTTCTGTACAACTTATGTCCTCTTATCGGATGTTGCCAGTCGAAGACTTTTAGACCAGCCCGCATTAGAAAATATGCAACGAAGAAAAGATCTTTTCTGTAACCTTTCTTTACCACCAACGGTCGCAATGCCTTTATCGTCGGCGATATATTCATCATAAATCAATTCACTCGAAAATATCTCCCTACTCGAAAGGCCAGTCTGCACCTATCAAGGCCTTCAATAATGAGCACATGCCACAGTCCATACCAAATAGCGAGCTATAAAAACTACATTAACATGTACTAGTATACTGAATAAACACCTTAAATGACCATCTTTTTCAGCATCACTCTATAGTGTTTCGACGAAAATACGTTTTAAACGTCCAACCAAGACTGTCTATCCTTCGGTTTTCATTTAAACATCAGAAACCGTGTAATGGTTAATTGCTTTTACAAAGAAAAATAGATAAAACAATATCCTGAAGAAAAACGACGAATCGACAAACAGTTCACAGAAAATTGAATAACCGAAATCCGTTCAAAAACTCATACATGTATGTTAGACAAATCCTCTGCCATTAGCTTCACTCGTCGTGTTGCTTAATGTTATTATTGATCTACGGTAAGTGTTGATGTCACATAACTCGTTAAAATGTTGTATTCAGTAGGAGGATGTACATGTTACATATTTATAACATTTACCTTTTTCGGAAGACAATAAGATGTTAATTCGCTGTGTTTATGGACTGCCTCGAAAGTAAGAAGTAAGGTATAAGTATGTTACCTTATCCAAAGCACATGCTGTATGATGTTACTGAAATACGATATCTTCATGTTATATGGCAATTGTTTGGATACATAGTTAAGTTACCGGATGTTACTTACTATTGTTGAGTTTGTGAGGTGTTTTGTTTTGATATAATTTTCATTTTTCTATTTCTATTTCATATTCTTTGCTTTTATTTCAAATTTTCTTGGGTTTGTCAGTTTTTGTTTTTATTTTGTTTCCTGTTTCGCTGTTCTTTACTTTGTTTATTAATTTCCTGCTGCGCTTAACTTGACTTTATTTATTTATTTCCTGTTTTGCTGTTATTTACTTTGTTTATTAATTTCCTGTTTTTGAACTATAAGCCTCATTGTTTATATTTTGTTAGTTTCAAGTTGCAAATTTTTATGTATGTGAAGAAGAAAATAAAATGTGGTGGGATGTATTTCAATATTTTTAGCTCTTTGATTGGTACATTTATAGTTATACTCTACTTTTCCTTTCATATTCATATTGATTGGGTCTTTAAGTAGGTTGCGTTCTAATTGCCCTAGACACACATTTCCATTCAGATATGTTTATTGGAGGTTAATATAGGTTGCTGTCTTATTAACTAACAACTCGCATTTTTATTTATAAACATAAAATTTGAGGTTATGATAGGTTTCTGTATCATTAAATTGTATCCAACATTTCTAATCATAGTCATTTCGGTTAAAGATTGATAGGTTCCTGTCACATTGACTTATACATTACATTTTCATTTATAAACATATTTGTTGGAGGTTATGACCTATATCCCACAATTCCATTCGTAGGCGTATTTGTTAAAGAAAAAAAACCCAAAAATACCGAACTCCAAATTAAATTAAAAAGGGGAGCCCATAAAAACTGATAAAACCAAACTTTATCAACCAACGGAACGAGTGAAACACAACTGTCATATTCTTGACTTTGAACAGGCGTTAATGATAGGTTGCTGTCTATTTGATTTATATCCCTCACCATTCATACACATTTATGTTGGAAAAAAAGATAATTTGCTGTTTCTCTGACTAATATTACTCTACATTTCTATTCATAGTAATATTTGTTTGAGATTTAGAACTTTTTATACATTTGAAGTAGTTTTACTTTAATGTTTTGGAATATTGAGATGAAGATATACAAAGAGGCAAATTTTGCCCACGTGAAATTCATGTCCAAACATTTCACGTGAGATTCAGGAGATTAAACATGAGACTCACGGGCAAATTGTAATGTGCATTTCACGTGAATTGAGATTATTTGAACGACTTTTTTTTTTTAAATTCACACGAATTTTACGTGAAATATGTAAAAACAAAATCATATAATTTTCACGTGAACTTCACGTGAAATTTATTTGGGTTTTACGTGAAACTCACCTGATTTCATGTGAGTTTCACGTATAAACTCGTTTGACGTGAAATTCAAATGAACTTCATCTGATTCATTAAACAGAAAAAGAAGAGAAAGAAAATTGCTGTCTTTTCAGTATGAAAAACAGAAAAAAATAGCTGGCAAAACCTTATTAACATAACACCATGCGTTTAGTCTGTTTCAAAAATAGATAGCAATAAAAATATTTGCTGTGACAAGGTAACAGTTAATACAAATTAACGTCTTGTGAGTAGCCAGTTTGATTAAAATTGGTATATAATCATCTTACCTAAACCAAAAAAAAATGTTGAATACAAGTTTTCAGTGATAAATTTTTAATGTTCCTGAATTGATCTAAATTGGTTTGAAATTCATAACTACTAGCGATAGTCTTTATTTTACAGTCTATTGAATTGTACTCTTATAAAAAAAAATATTGTACAAAAAAAGTCATATAAGTCTTCAAAACATTATCCACAAAATCTGGATATATCCCATAAATCATGAGCGCATGAATTCGCGATTAATTTTGTCTTTAGATTCACATTTCAAAAACTCGAAACTTTTCAAAGTAACATCTCAATTGACATATCATTATCAGATGACACTAGATAACCTTGACGCTGCACTGGTTAAATTATACAGATCAAGTTTAGCAGTTTGTTGAAAAAATTGTCTAGCAACGTATGTGTCACCCATTAACTGGTAGGCTATGCCACAAAATATTGGTGAAGACAAGTGTGTTTCTATACCAACCGTTGTAAAATTAATTGTTGATCTAAGTTGTTGTAAATAATATCTACACGATGTCATGTCCTGTAGATGATAGTAACATAAGAAGCTTAGGAAATAGGCAAATGATAACGGATCATAAATTGCATGGGATTTTGAAACATCTAGCTGTAGTTCTTGTGGAATTATAGACGAGTTCTTGCGAAATGTAAGATTTTGAATTGTTATTGCTTTTAATGCTGTATTAAGTTTTTGCTTTTTCATCAGATTCGTCTTCTGTCTTTGGATAAATGCGTACTCAGATAAGGTTCTTCCAGTTTTAGATCTTTCATGGTATTTCTTCAACGCAAACTTAATTACACTTGATGAGGCAAAGTATTTTTTATGAACATATAAGAAAGAAGCCAATGTCAGCCATCCTGATATTGCATCTGAATGTAAACCTATCGATAAATGAATGAGATCATATTTGTACTTGGAGTATTGTTGTTTGTTTTCTGAGCTATATTGGTATTTTGAGGTATCTGGAGCAGACCAACATGCCTTTGATATATATAAAGCAAATAAACCTCTTGATAAACCAGTCCTGGAGTGACGTAAAAAATTATATAAGAGATGTATTATCTTAATATATGTAATATCCAAATGTGTATCTGGTAGTAATCTAGCATGTCCACTTGATAAAGATTCTGTTAGTTTATAGGATTGTCCTTGATAATCTTGCAGGGTCTCAGAAGACGCAAAACAATTTATTCCTTGTTCATATAATTTCTTTAGCATGGTGGCCAATTTTTCTTTGTTGATACCACTGAACCGTAAGTCAAAAAAGTTATTGTCTGGTATGAAATAATGTGACAAGATTGAATACCTTACACAGTATAGCAGTCTTTGTAGACATGCCATGAAACAAGGTATAATGTTATCTGGTCGCCATAAATTCTGATCCGTTTCTTCGGAAATCCAAAACATCAATGTTTTCAAGAAATATGAACACAATAAACCTTTCAATTCTATATGTTTTTCTACTATTTCCTTCAACACGATTTTTAAAAGAGCATAACATAATAGTTGTGTATGACTGAAGGAATAGATAAGTAACCTTTCTGCTAGAGAAAATGAAATTCGCCATTCCAGATGTTCTTTTATTGATCCTTTGCATCCAATTGGAACAAATAACACTCCACAAGATATTATTTTGGAAATTATTCCAGGTAAAGGCCATGTTGTACGTGGTCTACTTACCCATGGCTTTGCTTGAAATATCCATTGGTCACATTTAAGACAAAACGCAACATCAAAAAAATCATTCATATCTGATAAACATGGACCATGAATTTTCAATTCGATAGGAAACAATGACAAATGATCCCTTCTAAAGATTTCACTCGAAAGCATACCTCCAAGATTACTGTTTTCCCACATAAATTTGAAGTCTTTCTGTTCATCTAGAAGACGTAATTGTGCAAAACATGGCAAGGTCTCCTCTGTATTCATAATTAAAGGAATTTTTAGACCATCAAAAACAACTTCTGTTTCTGATTGATACACTTTATATAAAGAAGTAATACTCATTAAATCTATATCACTGCCTTTTAAATCAAGGCCTTCACCTTTACTTCCGCTTATTATTACTTTCAATTTATTGTTAAGGCAAATTTCAACGATATTGATTTTCAACCTCCTTATTCTCACGACCTCCTCAGATCCAATTATCGGACAAAGATACTTGTAAAAATTTAATGATTCACATTTCTCTTTAGATGTTCTTACCATGTCAGTCTACAAAATAAGTTATCATTTATCATAAATAAAAGTAAAACCAACTTCTGTATTTTACAATGCAAAAACAAAAAAAAACATTAATTAGGATCAGTTGCTTTTCACTTAGTTTATTTACTATTTTTGAGTAACTGACAGTAAAATTCATACAAGCGTCTGTCTATTATCTATGGGTAACAACTAAACGTTTGTCTTATAATGTAGTTGTTGCCTGTAGATTTGCATACAGGTGTCTTTAGTCAGTATTTTTTTTGTATTGTTAGTATTTCAATAATATGATTTGAGCTTGATTTATTTGCTTTTATCGCGATGTTGGAAGAAACTTGTTGATTTGTCTGAAAGGATTTCATTACTATAATTAACAGTACCAAGTGTACTACACCAGATTATCAATTCGACAAGTAATGTTACTTCAGAGAAGCTCGTTACTTGATCGTATAGAAAACAAGTAGAATTTGGTTGATTTATGTAGGAATTTATGCACTACCCTCCAATGTCATGAATATTGTGGCAAAGTGAAGTATTTTTTTATTTGTTTTTCAATTGAAAACAATCTATTAATTTCCATATTCAAAAGTAGAAGTCCATAGACGTTTCAAATGTTCAAAATCTTGTATGGATGAAACCTTAATAAAACCTGTATACCAGTTAACAAATATAATTTACATAGATTCAACTATTATATTTCCATAAAGTCCTAATATTTCAGAATATTGAAGGGAATTTCCCTCATATTTATGATATCCATCTTGCTTCAAACACACACTATTAAAGTGAAGTAGGTAGAAGTGCCCATTTGACACTGTAGGTCAAGGGCGTCTATAGGAAATTTATTTCTATTTTTATACTTTTACTATTAATTTTACATAAAGAGGATTGTTATTTAAAATACATATATATGATGGTAACATGTATATATTTATGTAAGAAATCTGTAAAGAACCATTTGCTTCACACTTCGATTAAAGAATATAAGCATGGTCTTTTGTAGAAATAAGGTTAATTTTTCGAACTACATTGGGCCATGATGTTGGATGCCATTCTTACAAATTAGAAATTTGATAACCAATTAAAAAAAAATCTTAAAATTCATGTGAAGTGTTAATTGTTACCATAATTTTGTTAATGATGAACGTATTGTCCTGAGATATGCTTGTCAACTGATTATTCAGAACATTTTCAAAATATCCGGAGGTATTTGTTGTTATTCCAATTACTATGTTTTACATTAGAAAATCCGGTATAAAGCCAGCTCTGCCGTATTGAATTTAAAGTTTAGGAGGTCGACTGAGTTTGAGAGGGAGTGACATTGATCATATATCGGTGGGTGACACTGACTTTTTCTGACATTTATTATTGTCTTGCCCTACCCATTATAGTAGGAGGACATTATGTTTTCCAGTTTATGCGATCGTACGTTAAATCGTACTACCTGTATTAGGTTAAGTTTTGGTTTAAGATAGTGAAACATGCAATAGTGGTGACATCAACTAAAAGCTTGATACAAATTTTCATTATGATTCGAATTTTTTAATTTTATTGATGTTAGATTATGGATTCACTGAACATGGAAATCTGATAGTGCGAGCAAAGCATGTCATCCTATGGACATATAGTCATGTTTCCATCATGAAAGAGGAATGCAAGATGAAATGAAATAATCGTAATATGAAATATCTAGAGAATGGCAAAATCAACTAGTTTAACATAAAATAAAGTAATAAGTTTAAATGGCTTACCTTCTTTTCCATTTTTATTGAAATGGTGTTTTTTTTCAATCTTGATTATGCCATTCAACTTCAGATACCTTTACTGTTACTATATCACGTATATTTTACGCATTGTTTCCATGTTTTGAAGGTAAATTGACTGAATTATATGTAAATGATTTTATATAGTCTTGAGTTCCGTAAGGACGGAAGATGATAAGTGTTAGTACTTGAAACAACAATGGCAAGTTTGAAGTGGATGAAAACTTTAAAACTGAAATCAACAATATGCTGTTTTTTTATGCCCCACCTACGATAAGAGAGGGGCATTATGTTTTTCGGTCTGTACGTCCGTTCGTTCGTCCGTCCGTCTGTCCCGCTTCAGGTTAAAGGTTTTGGTCAAGGTAGATTTTGATGAAGTTGAAGTCCAATCAACTTGAAACTTAGTACACATGTTCCCTTTGATATGATCTTTCTAATTTTAATGTCAAATTAAAGTTTTGACCCCATATTTCACGGTCCACTGAACATAGAAAATGATAGTGCGAGTGGGGCATCCGTGTACTATGGACATATACTTGTTTAAATTTTATTTTGCAGTGCTAGGAAAGCAATCGAGAATAGCGAAACATTTAATAAGGAAATTAAAGATTTGTTGTTGTTAATTTCCTCCATTTACTTTCGAATGAGTATCTCCATTTCCTTGAAATGACATTACTACTTGATATGAAGCATTAATTCAATACTCAAATTTTCAACAATCTTTCTCAGAAATCTTCATTATCAATTTTTAGAATTTAGATGCTTGGGCATAGTACATACTATCTGAGCTCACAAAATGCGTTTACAGTTTCAGTTTTATCAGCTTCAAATGTTTAGCATAAAGTATAATAGTAAAAGTGTACAGAGGATATTTTTCGTAAGAACAGCTGTTTATGTTTGAATAGTTACAAATTGATGGCGGAAGATATCAAGGAGACATTAAAAACTCATAGGTAAAGAAAAACTGACCACGTCAAGGACAAAACGTAAAACTGACGGAAAGACAAAACAATATTGCATCAATAACTAACGAATGAGCAATGCGTAGTTTACAAACTGGACAAGTGAAATAAAACATTGTGTGAATGACAGGGGTAATTATTGAATGTTACAATGTGGGAATGTCATTATCAATTTTGTGTACGTTACTCAGTGTGTGTGTGTGTGTGTGTGTGTTTGACATAGTTAATTCCTGTATGTGCCACTGTGTACGTGGGGTAGTTATTTCTTGAATGTTACACACTGTGATGGACGTTGGAAGTTCATGTATGTTTCACTGTGTGAAAGACATAGTTTATTCTGTGTTGATAAACGGTGTGAGTGATATGATTATTTCTTGTATGTTATACTGTACGAGTGAAATAATTTTGTTTTTATGTTAGGGTGTGTATGGTGTGTGTTCGAAAAGGTTAACTAGACGAGTGCCTCAACTAGAGCAGGAAACGCTTCAAAATCAGCTACCATCACCCCCGGTTTTTTGTTCGGTTCGTGTTGCTTTTGTCCTTAGTTTTTCTATGTTGTGTTTTGTAGACTGTTGTTTGTCTTTTTATCATCGATATTCGTTTTTTGCAATGGTGTTGCCAGTTTGTCATTGACTTATGATTTTGAAGTTCTTTTGGTAATATTTCGCCTCTTTTTTAATTCTTTGTATTTTATAAATTTGTGAACATTACTCCTCTGCAACTGTTTGCCAAAAAATAGTCATATTTGGTATGTTGATAGCCTATAATCCAGATACTGTTGCAGGAAATGCATGGTAATGTGTATTATAATTTTTTATTAACTGTGTATTTGCATTCAGGTGTCACAGGTCAAATTTATTCGTTCATTGTGTGTTAATTTACGTTTTTTGATTGAGTTAAGCCTTCCAATTGATATTTTATAGTGTGTTTTTCTATGTTGTACTATTGTTTCAGAAAAGGGAGAAGGTTTGGTACCATTAAAACGTTTAATCCCGCTGCAAATGTTTGCACCTGTCCTAAGTCAGGAATCTGATTACAGTAGTTGTCGTCTGTTTATGTAGTTCATACGTGTTTCTGGTTTCTCGTTTTTATATAGATTAGACTGTTGGTTTTCCGTTTGAATGGTTTTACACTAGTTATTTTTTGGGGCCCTTTATAGCTTGCTGTTCGGTGTGAGCCAATGCTCCGTGTTGAAGGCCGTACCTTGACCTATAATGGTTTACTTTTATAAATTGTAACTTGGATGGAGAGTTGTCTCATTGGCACTCATACCACATCTTCCTATATCTATTGATCATCGTGATTTTTTATATGTAGATATAAGAATAATATAGAATTCAAATTGTATAATGTGGACGTGTTGTTATGTAAATGTGATACTGTTCGCGTTGGATGAATAAGTGATGAACTATACAATTTACATTTTGTCAAAACAGTCTTTACATTAAACCACAAATTACTTCAGCTTGTTGGATGCACAATATAAATTACATTTGTTAATAAAACAAATTTCTCTCAATACAAAACATTTTACATGTGAAAAAAAAAAATCCTCTAAAACCAATGAATACAATATGATTGTAGGTTTACTTAACTGATTTGAATCTTCTATAAAGGCGTAAGGTGCTGAGTTACATCGTCGACTGTTAGGATTAATACTTATAAACTCTACATAGGGCTTATAATCGCTGAATATCACTTCAACGTAACATATTTAAAAGTTAATTGTAATTTTTGTTAATGCATGTTACAATTACGAATATTTATTTATAGAGAAACAATGCTTACATTTTGTTATGTTTTCTAATAATTGTGTAATTAAATATACTATTACGTTTTTGTTATTTCTATTCGTAGCTTTAATCGTTATCATTTGATAAAATGAAAAAAAAAACTAAAAACAAATTTTCGACGTAAAGTCTTTCATACAGAAGAAAATGTAGGTTTTTCCTAAAGCTTGTATTCGCTGAATTTTGGTTTCTAATAATTCATATTTATTGAGCCTTATAAAAGTTTGAAATAATGCTTTTTTCAACGAACACGTGCCATTTGCTTCACACTTTGAATCGATATAATATATTTATTTCTATCGGGCAATGTGCGAACAGAAATAACACGCATATAAATAAAGGTTAGCTATATTTGTAGACTATGCAATATCAAATGAAAATATCCTTAGATATGTCTTAGAAATTGATTTAGGATGGTCTTATGACTTTGCTAAGAAAGGAACTATGATATATTACTTTTGAGCTATATTTAGACATTTATAGTTTGGTGT